AGTAATGATTTATTCATTTACTTTGTGCAATTATAAAGGCATAAGAATGATTTACACATGAGTTCAAACCCCTAGCTTCCTGAAAGTTTAAAGGATTCAAAATAAAATGAGATTAAAATGAATGCATTTACAGCCTGCTACTGAGTGATTTTGATACCTAAAAAGTGAACATGAATATCAAGATTTTAAAAACAGTTAACAAATAAAGCTGGCATTGAAAGCTCTAAAAATGTTTCAAAATAAATCTTATTCAAATTATGATTATGACATTAATTATAATAAAATATTAATCCCAAATAATCCTCAAATGCTTCTCCTATACATTTTATCATCCTCCATTCCCTGTACCTCCCAAAGAAGGAATGGGAGGGAAAAAGGGGGAAGGAAAGTATAAGAAGTAGAGAATAACAAAAAAGGACAAAAAAATAAAGACGTAGAAAACAAAAATATCTATTTAAATATGTTTGGTTTCAAAATAAATATTTAAGTAAATTTAACTTATTTATGTCCACTCATATTTTATAAAAATTCTTATTGAAAAAACGGGTATCTCTTTCAAGGACAAATTATGATGTACATGAATTTAAAGTCTGAACAGTATAACTATAATTTTAAAACTGTCACACTATTAAACATCAACAGGTTGATACAACATCTGTTCTTCAATTTTTCACCCAAGTTGTTATGGTAACCAAAATATGTGGGATATGTTTCCTAAATTTAACTGATTATTTCAAGTAAATAAAATTATAGCTTATCAGCTTATTAACCACAAATAATATTATTACTACAAACCTATATTTATCCTTTTTAAATGCTAGTGGATCACAGGATTATATTTAAATACACATTTATACATGTTTTATCTCAGAATTTACATTAAAAAATAGCAAGGATTTTTTTCTTATTTGGAAGCATTATCTCAATTTATGACCAAAACAGGAAAGGAACTATTTTATTTTCTGAACAATATACTATGCTAAAGTACTCCAAAATTATATGAAAATTGTACTGCTCTGTGGAAGATGTAAATCACATTCTTCCAAGCATCTGCTAGAACTTGTCACTCCTCCAATTCTCTGCTCAAAACTCTTTATGAGCAACCCATCTCTGAGAAGAAACCAGAGTCCTCATAGGGGCACCTTCTCTAACCCCGTTTTAAAGGGCTATTCCAGCACCCCATCCTATCTCTGCTCATACACTGCCTGTCTGCTAAAGAATGAAGTGTTTCCCCCCAAGACTCATATCCAACCCTCAGTGTGTACATATTTGGTGATAGGGCCTACAGGAGGTAGGTTAAGGTTAAATTAAATTTAGGATAAACTGATCCAACAGAATGAGTGTTCTTCTCAAAAAGAGACACCAGAGAGACCCTACCTCCCCTATTTATTGTCTGTCTCCCCTTTGTAWAATAAGCTTTATGAAGGTATAGATTTCTGTCTAGTTTACATGACCTAAAACACCTACAACACAGTGCATAATAGGTGATTAATAAATATTTGCTAAATATATAAAACAAATTCACATCTTAAATATATAAATACATACTATTGTAACAAATAATACATATTTGTAATGATATTCAAGGAATCCAAAAAGAAAAATTTTAAACTATCAGTAATTTAAATGAACAAAGTAAAAATTTACCAAAATTTGTATTCTCATCATAGAACCACAGAATCTTGCTTTCTTGGTTCTCCTCCTATGAATCTGATCCACAATAGGCTCTGTCTTCTTCCGACCAATTAAATACAGAAAATAACTACTCCTGGTGCTACTCTGTTCTAGATCTTGGTCTTTATCAGTTCCTTGGTGAACTCATCCACTCTCACTGCTTCAACTATCACCTCTTTTAAATGACAATGAAGCCATTGCCTCTGGCCTAGACATGTCTATGCAATGTCCCAACTACCTTTGAGACATGTATCACTAGCCATAACATCAGCAACATCCAAGGACAGGAGGCTAAGGTAAAATATAATATTATACTCATTTGAGTAGGAAAAAAAAATCCTAAATGAAATAGGAATTTAAAATACTGTCTTTAGTAGTGTATAGACTCACATAATAATTTCACACACTGTCTTAAGAATTGCTTTTTTCATTATAAAAATTAGACCTATGATAGTAGAGAATTAGAATCTTTGAGTTATGACTTTGTATTCTAATTAACAACATACCCGTATACTATCAGTTTCTTTTCAACCATTGAATTATTCCCAACATTGCAATAGAGTTTTATTGCTTTCAAATTGAATTTAATCACTTGGGGGGGAAATATAAGAAATGTATCTGAGGTTTTCAAATTAAGTTTCTGAACTAGGATAGTTTATTTTTAGAAGAAAAATACCTCCCATGTTTTTCTTCATCATTGGCTTCAAAATAATATTAGTTTCTCCAACCATTTTTTCCCACACTTAAGAATCAACTCATTACTTTAAAAAAAATTAAAGCACATTTTTTTTAACTTCTCTGAAGATCCTCAGTAATCTGATGAAATGACAACTCAGAATTTAGGAAAGGCTTCAAATCAAAGTTGGCTAGTACATTTCTCCATTTAAATAAACCACTTTTTTTTTTCAAGAATTTCACTGGATGGAAATAAAAAGAAGGAAATTTCCAAAAGAAATCTTAGTTTATTATGGCTTTAGAGACAGGATGCCTAAGGAACCACAGGTCCCTGGGTCTTGTAGCACTGAAGAGTCTCTTACAGTCAATGAACCTCAGTATTATCAGTAACTGATGAGACTAGGTCTACATTGCCCTTTTATGATAAATGATTACCATACATTATACCTGGTACATTTTACTGACATTTCTCAAATAACTTTTCTTTAAATTAAGAATATAAATGGAATTTGGTTAGAGTAAATAACCAAATATCATAAATAATCATGTCCCTAAAAATTCATATGTTGAAATTCCAACATAGTGCTAGGGGTTGAGGCCTTTGAGAAGTAAGTAGGTCATGAGAATGAAGCCCTCTTGAATGGGATTAGGATCCTTATAAGATATTCCAGAGAACTCCCTTGCTTCTTCCACAGTGTGAGATTACCAATAGAAGACAGTCATGTATGAGTTGGGAAGCAGACCATAGTTTAGCTAATGTGAATTGAGCTGCTATAAACATTGATGTGGCTGTGTCCCTGTAGTATGCTGTTTTTAAGCCCTTTGGGTATAGATCGAGGAGTAGGATAGCTGGGTCAAATGGTGGYTCCATTCCCAGTTTTCCAAGGATTCTCCATACTGCTTTCCATGTTGGGTTACCAATTTGCAGTCCCACCAGCAATGTATGAGTATGCCTTTTTCCCCACGTTATCGCCAACACTTATTGTTTATATTCTTAATAGCTGCCATTATGACTGGAATGAGATGAAATCTTAGAGTAGTTTTGATTTGCATTTCTCTAATTGCTAGAGATGTTGAACATTTTTTTCATATATTAGTTGACTGATTGTATATCATCTTCTGAGAAGTGTCTGTTAAGTTCCTTAGCCCATTTATTGATTGATTGGGCTATTTGGGTTTTTTTTTTTTTTTTGGTGTTTGTTAAGATTTTTAAGTTCTTTATATATTCTAGAAATTAGTGCTCTATCTGATATATGTGTGGTAAGAATTTGTTCCCAATTTGTAGCTCTCTATTCACCTCACTGATTTTTGCTGAGAAACAGTTTTTTTGTTAGAATCCATCCCATTTATTGATCCTTGATATTAATTCTTATGCTATAGGAGTCTTATTAAGAAAGCTGGGGCCTAATCCAACATTGGGCCTACTTTTTCTTCTAATAGATGCAATGTCTCTGGTTTAATTCCTAGGTTCTTGATCCACCTTGAGCTGAGTTTTATGCATGATGAGAAAGTCTATACCTAGAAGACCCAAAAAATCCCATGAGAAAACTTCTAGAACTAGTAAATGAATTCAGCAAAGTAGCAGGATACAAAATCAATACCCATAACTCAAAGGCATTTCTGTATATCAGTGACAAATCCTTTGAAAGGGAAATGAGGAAAACTACCCCATTTACAATAGCCTCAAAAAATTAAAATACTTGGGAATAAACTTAATGAAAGAGGTGAAAGACCTCTACAATGAAAACTATAGAACGCTAAAGAAAGAAATTAAAAAAGACCTTAGAAGATGGAAAGATCTACCTTACTCTTAGATAGGCAAAATTAATATCATCAAAATGACCATACTACCAAAAGCATTATACAGATTTAATGCAATTTCAATCAAAATTCCAATGATATTCCTCATAGAAATAGAAAAAGCAGTCATGAAATTCATTTGTAAAAATAAGAGACTCAGAATAGCTAAAGCAATTCTTATCAAGAAGAAGTGAAGCAGGTGGCATCACTATACCAGACCTTAAACTATACTACAGAGCAATAGTAACAAAAATAGCATGGTATTGGCACCAAAATAGACTTGTTAGACTTGTAGACCAATGGTACAGAATAGAGGATACAGACACTAACCCACATAATTACAGTTATCTGTAATTTTGACAAAGTCACCAAAAACATACATTGGAGAAAAGATAGCCTCTTCAATAAATGATGCTGGGAAAACTGGAAATCCATATACAGCAAAATAAAATTACTGATATTTTTAACAAAAAGCTTATATCACTAAGGAAAACTTAAATTATAACCAGGGTAGTATATATATGTATGTGTGCGTGCACACACACACATATATATTAATTTTAAATTTTAGTTTTAAACTTTTATCAAATCAATTAAAATTAAAAGTTTCACACTAAAGGATTGTCTTCACCACTGACAAAAGTCAACTAACAGAGCAATTTACTCCCCACGACTGTGGATATGCAGGATTATACTTTTCAGCCCAATTCCTTGAAAATTGATAATCCATAATCATAATAAACAAATAGTTGACATACTAGAACTTTCTTTATCTATGCAAAAGAAATAACAGCATTAATGACAAGTGATAGAGCAAAAATAATTTCCTGCTTTGTACAGTGTTAGCTGACCTGTGGTATGAGCCTATCCAATTGTTCAGCTCGGTTTTCATGAGAAGGATGTGTAGATAACCATTCCGGTAACTTGGGATGACCTTGGAGGCTATCTGCAAACTCCATCTGCTGCCAAAACACTGAACTGGCTCTTACATCCACACAAGCCTACAACCAAAATTAATAAAAGCACACAATGAACTTAGTTATGAGGACATTTTTTTAAATGTATCTTTATGTCACTATATGTTTTTAAAACATCTTCTACTACCATTTTAATAAAAGCAGAATATGTTCATTGGCTTTAAAAATTCAAATACTATGATATTATAGAAATAAAGAGACTGCCACTGTCCCTTTTTACTCCCCACCCAACACAACATTCACAATAATACCTAACTCCCCAAAGATAAACTACTATTCTTAGTATGATGGATAATAAGAATATGTACTAAAGGGAAAATCTCTATACAAATGAAAATTTTTATACTTATATAAAAATAATTTTTTAAATTTTTATGTTTTAACATATAAAAAGTTATTACACTACACTAAAGATATTTTACTCCTAATCTATACCACTAGAACAATTACAAGATTTCAAATAAGCATGAAGAAACAAAAGACAGTTATATATTTTAATGTACGTCAACTTATCTACTTTTCCTCAATGTAAGTGAGAAAGAATATATTTAAGCCATTCAGAATATCTTTACAAAGTATTTTTAAAGGACATATATATGGATCTTATATCTTATATACATGAGCACACATACAATTCCATCATACCCTCATACCTACATACACATACTTGAATATAAACAGAATATTTCTGGAAGGCTACTTTAAAAACTGTTGTTAGTGGTTCCCCTAAGAGTATAAATGAGGTATTTGAAGATAAAGAAGAAATAAAAATTTTACTTCTGAAGTATATTAAAATGTTTGTAACAAAAATTATTGTTAAATCCTCCATAAGGTAACAATAAATATTTTTATAAGCCTGTTCAATTTCTTCACATTTCTTAACTTATTCTCTCTACAAGAACTGAAAAATAAGTGATTACCTATTTTCCAAATATTTTACTTTTGATTAAAACAAAGAAAAAAATATTATATTCATGAAAATGTGATTTCAAAAACTCTTAAAATAGTGTGACTGTGACACCCAAAGAGGCAAATGTGGTACATCACATGCTAATAGAAGCATCTACATTGATGCTACATCAATACTTACCAAACACCATTTCAAATGCTGGGAAATTTTAGGAAAAAATAATTTGAAATTCAAGTAAAATTTTGAAATTCAAGTAAATTTTATTCAATATTTAAAGAACAATAATGAAGACCTTCCTACTGCACAGATATGGATAGATATGTATATGTGTGCATAAACTGGAATATATCAGATGAATACATATATCAAACATATAAATATATAACCTATGTTTCATATATATATATACACACACACACACACACACACACACACATCTATCAATGCACAAGTTGTGTGTAATTATATATATCATATATACACAAAAATATTTATGGCTGAATTTCAAATACCCACAGGAATATATCTGTCAATAGCAGGGCATCACAGTCATAATATAAATACAATCTGAGACAGAGACAAACAAGTCAGGTAATCTAAAATAATTCATAAAAATATACAGTGACTTGAAAGAGTTCCAATTGAAATCATATCATTTTATAAAGCACAGCTTAGCTAATAGGGTAAAAACAAACAAAAAAAAATGAAATACTGAAAACTATAAGATGATACTTCAATAGACTTTGCTTGGAACATCCTTCTGAAAATACTCACACTTAGAAACAAGCCTGAGATACCAGTGCACTCTGYAGAATTGAATGAATTCTGAACTAGAATGGCAAAATGGTCTCACTCCTTCGCCTCCCCCAAGTTTGCCCAATACAAGACAGATTTCCCTGGGCCCACAGGTATTACAAGGGAAAGGAGCATTGCAGTAGTTATCCAATTTCCCTAATACTCCCAGAAGCTTCCCAAGGAGCACACTCTGGCCTCAACTCACAGGGAACACTAGGGCAATGGCACAAGCTAGACTACCTAAAAGGGTAAATCTTGTGTTAAATGTTCTTACTACAAAAGAGAAAGAGACACAACAAGTGAAAACATTTTTTAAATAAATATGCTCTTCATCATAAGCTTAACTCACCTGCCTCAACAAAAATAATAGCAAATATAAGGAACTTGTGTTTATCAAACATGAAAACAAAGAAAGAAAGAATAAGACTTTCTAGACAATCTTTCCTTTTTAAAACAGAATCAGTAATGACTACATCCAATCAGAGAAACACAAGTAATGTGTTTCAGTGAAATGTTTTGTAAGGCAGAAAACTGGGCTAATGAAAAGACCATTGGTTTTAGAACCAAAAACATTTGGGTTCAAAATACCAGTTATTCTTTTAAGTAATAGTCAGTTATATGACACCATGTGCAAGGTACTATACTAATGATACGATAAACATTAACTCACTATATTAACTCACTTAATCCTCATATCAATCTTATGAGATAAGTACTATCATTACCCCCATTTTAAAGAGCAGATGAGGAAACCAAGGGCCACAAATGTTAAGTAATAACTTGGTGAAGTTTGCAAAGCTAGTTAGAGCCACAATTTGATCCTAAGTAATCTGGTGCCAGAGTTTGCGCCTGTGAACCAAAAATTCAGTCTCCAAGAGTCTAAGATTCATTTATAAAACTGAATTTAAAGCAGTGGATCATCAGGATAATAAAATTTGATATCTTGCAAAATATCCAGTCCAGAACCCAGAATACAGTCAATACTATTTCAACTTCTCCTTCCCCCTGGTGAGCAATCAGAGGCATGTAGTAGTTAGAGGGTGCTATGTTTGATTATAAATGATGATGTCATAAATTTATAAGTGAAGAAGGATCTAGTTTAATCTAGACTATAGTAGCAATATGCATAAATATGCATTAAGGGACATATTATTGAGAAAGAATTTGCTACTATTCAGTTAGAAACTCAGTGGGATATGATATTCATAAAGAGTGAAGTGGTATAAGAACTTTTCTTATGGTATGAACACTTCTCAAATGCCAATACAATAACAGAGAAAAATATATAACAAGTCTAGACCACATTGAAGCCTACTGGTACTCTACCTGTAGACAAAATGTTCATTAAAAATAAAACTGAAAAGTGTCTGAATTTTGCTATTTCTATTTACTGAACTCTCCAACAAAACTTGTTCAGCCCTCACTCCCTGCAAGAGGTTAAATCTTGGTATTAGCTGTTCTGAATTTTGACTCTTATTAACACTTTAATCATTCTAACATCTCCCCCTGTATCCCACATAGACTTGTGGTAAACAAAATAATCATGTGAGACAACACTACAAAGCACTGTATCAGAAGGGTACTTGGATTCCTAGAGCTAGAAAAATAACCGAGATAAAATTTAAAGGGACCAAAACGGATTTTAAGAATAAACATTATTTTAGAAACAATAATGCAAAAGACTAAAATTGTTTCAATGGGTTAAAACAAGAAAGTTTCATGTCAGAAACAAACATACCTCTACTCTGGTACTTTGCAAGATCTCTGTGAGATCTTTGCAAGCTATTTAAGTTCTCTACCATTCAGTTGCACCTGTAAAATGATAATAACAGGACCTATACCTTATGGGGATCCCCATAACATATGTAATGCATTCAGACAGTGTCCAGATGTGGGAAAATGTTACCTGCCATTGCTATTTTAACCACTGTTAAGACCATAATGAGTGTCATCAGCACTACCATAACCATTTTTGTTATCTACCAGGAAACTAGCTTGTTTTCGTCTCAAACACTCACACAGCTTCATTGTTTTCCAACACCACTGATGGCGTCACTTGCTAAAACTCACTTTATTTTGTAACCCACTTCTCTATAGATATTTTTCCAGAAAATAATTTAAAATTTCTCCTTTCCAGCTGTATGTGACAGAGTTTCAAGATAGCTTCATCTAAATCATTCAAAGTATTTGCTAATCCTTCTCACTAAAAAAGAAAAACCAAATTTGATTTACACCAAAATTTTGTATGTCCCAACACAAAGGAGAAGCGGGAGCATATTATTTTGAGGTTCATTTAATTTAAATTTTTTTTTGTCCAAGTTTTCTGCTTCTTTTGATTGCTAATGTTCCAGTTCATCAATCAGTACAATAAAGTTTTAAATAAAATTTCATGTACCTATTTTTCTCTATGTTCAGTAAAGTTTTATCATAAAATTCAACACTCAGAGTTTAAATTGTAGCAGTTAAAAAGTAAGTGAATACGCATTTCTCTGGGTGATAAAATTAGATGCAAAAAAGATACTAGGCATAATGTATACATATAAAAGTTACTTTATAACACACCTATTAAATGAGATGTTCTAATTTACTACTTTTTCTTCTTAAATGAATAACTTTTCAAGAACCTAAGATAGTAATCCAAATAAAACACAAAGATAGTGCTCTGTAATTAAGGCTCAAAATACTAACCTGGAAAACAAGTGCCAGGGATCTTGCTACTAAGCATGTTATTAGATAAATCACTTCATCTCTTTGGTAAGTTTCCTTACCAGTAAAAGAGGAAGGTGAATTATACTAGCTCTAAATTTCCTTCCTGCTTCAAAAATCTGAGTCTATAATTTATTATTTTAGATAGTTTAGAATTTTTAATTTTCTCATTTCTGTGAGGAAAGTAGATTCAGCATGGTACCTAATTCCCTCACTAGATGGTGCTATTGGCACAGTTATTTCATGTTAGATAAACCTGCAGGCAGTGTTTCCCAAAGGGACAAGATAGGCTCCAAGCACCAGATAATTTGTCCTGTGAAGACTTTAGGATATTTATCATTCCTAATCCCCATTAAACACAGTAATCTCCTCATACCTCTCTAATTACTGTAACAATAAAAAGCAATCACATATAATGCCCTCCTAAAAGGATGCTCCCAGTTTAGATCCACTTAAAAAAAAGTTAGTTTTCTTTTCAAAACTTAAAAAAACAGATACTCAAAAATAAGAATAAATAGTTAAATTGTGAATTTTTTTWAAGAAATTAATTTCTGGTATACAACCAGAGATATGAAAAATTGTGCTCTATATATGTAATATGAATTGTAATGCA